ATATGGATTGAAAATACCTAAGTACCATCTAACCAATTATACGTACTTTAAAAAGAACGGTTCGTATTTTTTTTTTTTGAAATTTCTCATTAGTACTTTAAAGAGAAAATTTAAACGAAAATAAAAAAACCTTGCAAAATTTACTGAACGCCAGTTTTTAACGAAATCCGCAAACGTTTTGTTACAATAAGCGTTTCATTTGGATTACAACGTAAATGATATTGGACTGCTGTTAAGAAGGATGCTTATATGTAGGTATTGGGCGCCTTAAAATAGAAATCCGATGTTTACGCAGTTTGGTGGTTTCCAAATCGTCGAAGCTGATCATGTCTACTTATTTCCTATAATATTTGGTTATTATTAGACCAAAATCGTGTGAAATGCCATATTATTATTTTAACGTTAGTCGCACAATGAAAAAATAATCACCTCTAGAACAAGACTGTCACAACTTAAAATGTATAGTTTTGTTAAAAAACCTGTTTGGAGTCCTTTTTACCTATGAGTTTGAAACTAAAATCTTAAATACTCGCAACACATACTTTACAATATGTCTTTTTCAAATATTATGAAATACTCTATTAAACCATTTAAGCCCAAAAAATTAAACTTGTGGTCTTTTTCAAGTTTTTAAGTAAATGAAAGACTGCCATCTTTTGAGATGTGGCTGTATTGCATATAGAAATTAATATTGAAATAGCTGTAGGTATTCTAAAATATGGCAGTATTGAATTTTATATTGTGGGTAGGTACAATATCAAAATTTATAAAATGCAAAATCATTAGCTAAAAATTAAATAATTCAATACTGAATATTTAGCATATACATATTTAGCAATCATCAAGACTTTTTATTTGCTTGATAAAACATTTTATTGAATGTGGCGTTCCTGCATTTTATAGAGCATTTGTTTACTATTCAAATATAGTCATAACTCAAAGTCGATGAATTTTGTGTCAGCCTTGTTCTATTGCGAATGATACGATGACCAGAGCAGCAAAAAATATCCACTCAGATGTGGAAATAAATATAAATAGTATCAAAGTGTAAGTGATTACTGCTGACGTAGGTGCACAGTGTTACAGGTATCATACTAAATTGTATAGATCGAGCTGAGTCGTGATAAGGACTGAGCTGCCGTCTGTCTGGTTCCCCTCGGCCGTGGCGACAACTGGCAAGCCATTGACGTCGTCGTCATTGTCGTATAACGTCACGTGTTTGCGTGACAATAGAACACGACGAATTTGACACGGCCCTATTATTAAATTCCATTTACATTCGATGTATTATTTATTCAGGTGAGGTAACTCGTTTAAAGCGGTGGTTTTTATTTTCGGAAGCTTATTCCTATATCTGTCACATTCTAATATTATTGTAGAAGAAGCTCATTCTCACACACGAGTATTATTTAAATTCGCCCTAGATGATATTTGTACAGACTGCTATTATATGTTATTACATATTTTATGATAAAAAAATCGTGTTTTATCTATCAATGATATAATACAATATAATAATAATTTGATGATGATGATGGATTATTGTAATTAAATACATAGGTACCTAGTCTCAAGTCGGTTTATAACAATGTTTACATACATAATTAATAATAATGTAGGTACCTACTAATATTTTAATGTAAATTTAATACATTTTGGTTATGTCTATATAACCATATTATGATAGGTACCTATGCGTATCCACAACAATAGCCTCACATTTTCCACTCCCGGTATATTATACTTGTAAACAATTTAAGTTATAATAGCGAACACTTGAAAATATATTCTCCACTAATGAGTATAATAACGTTTGGCATATTATAATCATAGTATTATATTGTAGTATACGATGGTAAGTTTTCGCCAATATTATAACGATGCTTGTGACCGGAGCTCTTGACCAACGTCTTGACGACTGCTATATAAACACAATACTTACTTACCCCAAACGTTTAACCCAAAGCGATTGTAGATAATTGTATACATCTTCTGTTCACACCCTATACTACAGGATGGTGGATTCCGGGAGCAAATTGGATCTAGTTGGCACTTTGGGCGGTCAAAAGTAATAAATTCCCAGTGGGTACTTTTCACAATCGTCTGAAAAAAAAAGTGTAAGTCCCTGTAATGTATATGTTAGATTCGAACTCAATGGTAAATCAGTGCAAACGAAAAACGATTTTGGGTGAACATGATCCGTCCAACTATATTACTAGGTAATTATAATATTATGTTGTTACTTATTAAAGTAATTATTTTTAATATTAGTATAATATTACACAAATATATTGCCAAAAACATTGAAAATATCTATAATTTTAAAATATCTTTGTGCGTATAAAATAATATAATAATATACGTCATACAAAGTATTAAATCCTCAAGAAAAATATGTTTGATTTACAACACAAAAAATCGTTATTCAATATATAAATATTTTTTAAATGTTTTGAAAGGTTTGACTCAAAAATTAAAAATTCTATCACAAACGCACATCACAGTAAAATCAATACATTCATCGCACCGCTCAAAATTTTAAGTTAATAAAAACGTGGGTAAGTGGCTACCACTCTGCTGTCCATTCGGTGTCGTGTGGGTCACTGTGAGTTAATTTTTAATTCAATGATAAAAAAATTATTGAACACGAAAATGATTCTCCCCGAAGATGAGCCTTTAAAGTTAAATTTTTATAACTAAGATTTTCAAGTCAAAATTAACTACAATAAATACAAACAAACTACCTAGTACACTAAATCTTGGTTTTCAATTTAAACTTTTTCAAATTACGATAGAATCAGATTTTCAAAATGTGGGCCAGCATTTTAATTAAATACATTATTATAGAATAACCAATATTATTATTATTATTATTATTATTACCATTATTATCATTATTTAATATTGTTTTATTTTATAAAAAAGTCAACTGAATGAACAAATATTTAGTAAATAACTTTTTTTTTTTAACAATAGGTACCTGGTACACGGAACAAAATTATTATAGGCTCTATAGTAAATACATCTTTTGAAAAAATGTATGATGACACTCCATGCTGTAACTACAGTATAGATGACATTTCATGAGATTTCATCTATTCTATGAAGTAACTATATCTTGGTCAGTGTCCTGACACCTGAAATATTGGAATAGGTAGGTAAGCCATAACACAGGTTGTGAACAGATTTGTTGACCACTCGTCGTCGTCGTCTACGAGAGTCATTCGAGCTCATATTATACGAGCCACACCGACAACATTATGTCCTACCGACCTTAAGGAATTTCCTCCCTCGGGTCGATTGGAGCGACCTGCGTTGAACATGTTCTGTTTCTGTAGGTGACTTCTCGGGTGGTGTCTTTTAATAGGTACAGAAAATTATTGTGTAGGTACCTGGTAAATAATTGATAATTATTGTCCTGTCGGTATAAGCCAAGGAACTTACATAATTATAACGTACGACGTATTGGTTTTATTATTTTGATAAATACCTACCTATACCAACTCATCGATAGGTAACTAGTTAGTAAATTATATAATTTTGTTAAAATATATTAGTACATTACTATAAATATTAAATGGTGACGAATGGTATTACATAGTATTATTAATATTATTAAAAAATAAAACACATGTTCTTCCAACGCGCTTCTTAATAGATATAATATAATAATATACTGTATAGTGTGTGTGTGTATGTGTGAATGTGTATATATATATTCTATATATATATAGAATAATGTATGTATATATATGTTCATCGTACATACAACACATGTTTCCATACGATGATTTGTTGTAAATTAAACGTAGACACATTATTGTGTTGTGTGTATAGTTATAAATTATAATGAATATGATTTATTATGATGATATATACGTAAACAATTAAACACTTAAACTAATATTTATTTATTTCTTAAATAAAATAAAGAGACTGTTAAAAAGTTGAATAAGCATTATTAAAGCAAACGAGGCTTAATGGTTTTTAAAAAAATGTTTTCGGTTCTTGGTTTAAAACAATAAAACCATTATTAATATTACGAATGACCCTATATATATAATTATTTTTAATATATATTAATATGCTTTACAATAATACTATCGGTGACCTACTTTTTTTTTATTCACAAACGAACGAGGAATTTTTTTTGTTCGACGTTTACACGCAGAAATAAAAGTCGAGATTTTATAATATTGATAAATTACAGACAGGACAGGTGTTTATTTTCACATGTTTATTGCGAGTTCAAAAGCATAATAAAGCGCTTTACATTATTCAAATGATTCGAATTAAATATGAAAATTTGATATCGTAAATAACGAGAAACGTTTTAGGCTGGCCTGTGTGCACTGTGCATTAATATAGCATAAACATTCAGCCGTAGACGGTCATTTTCTGGGATTGGTGCTGGTTGGAAAATATTATTATATATTAATGCAAAAAAAAATATGTATACACTGATACTTCAAATCACAAGACTATACAAAAAAAAATATTGTTTATGTTGAAGAGGTATTAGTCGGAATGTTAATCTGTAAGGAAAACGTTATAATGTTAATCGAGCTCTTTCATTTGCATTCAACTACCGCCAGAACACAATATTTTATTTTATTTTTATTCTCTGAGTAGAGCGCCAAGTAAAATCCTGTTAAAATAATGCGTTAATAATAATATTATTCGGTTTTTTTTTTTTTTATTATTCTTTTTTCGATCTAGTCGAAAGAAAATTAATCCCTTACATAAAATAAAAATAAAAAAAGACGAAAATAAGAATTAACAATTTAAATTTTGTTCTTTTGTTCTTATTTGAGGATGGGGAGCGCAAATCTTTATTTCTCGGAAGCTATTAATTAAACGATAGTAGGATAACAAACTGCGCACTGTCTTCTTACGGTATAAAGACGTAGTATGAATAAAAAAATATATGCATATTTTTTTTTTTTAATAAAAGCAAATTAAACAAAATAATAATAATTTGAATATTAATAATCATAACACTAATGTTTTGTGTACGTGAACAGGGTCTGGAGTTGTCTGAATATTTCCTTCCGCTGGTACAGGACTTCGTTCATGCAGAACCTGGTCAACATCCATGGACATTCATATTTGATTTTCTCCACAATTCTAGTGCCGTTCGATAGGTCCACGAATATCATTTCCGATTTGGTGTTCACTGCAACACAATGTTTGGAAGTTAACCAAAGCCTCGATAAACGGTGTAGTAATATTATTAAAGTTCAACTTGGTCTAAATATAAAACTTATATTACGTTTTAGGGGCGGAAAAAATCAAACATGTAATATGAATTAATAATGAGGTCGTGTCAGAATTGGAGTAATGGGCCTACGAGGGTGGCGACATGTTTCTATAGAATATTAACTTGCTATTAAACTTATAAAATATTAGACTAAACAAAGTAAATACGAGGGAAGGCGAACCGGTGTCTTGATGAGGACGTTTTGTTTTATAACTTCATAAGATCAACAACGACGGTGGTTGATTTTCAAAAAATCACAAAGACATAAATATAACAGTATTTTATAACGTTCATTTTGCCTAATATGTAATGTGTTAATATTTGCTTGATGCGAAATTTTATGTTTTCACTAGACTTTCTTAATTATAGAGTGAATATATATTTTATGGTGTAGTAAAAAGAAAATTTAAATATATTTAACAGCTATCAGGAATATTTCAGTTATATACATTTAAGGTTGTTTTTTTAAAAGGATAGTATTTAGTATTTAGAATTTATGTGTGTGTGTGTGTGTGTGTGTGTGTGTGTGTGTGTGTGTGTGTGTGTGTGTGTGTGTGTGTGTGTGTGTGTGTGTGTGTGTGTGTGTGTGTGTGTGTGTGTGTGTGTGTGTGTGTGCGTGCGTGTGCGGTGTGCGTGTCACGTGTGTATGCGTATACTCACAGCAATAAATCTTGGCGAAACATGTCCGGTGAGTTGATTTGATTGCGAGTTGCGAATGCGATTTGTCTACAACGAAATCACCAATAATCTTGTTCATCACGAACGGAATCTGAGATAAGTGTTCTTCGTACTCGACTGTGTAGTTCCATTGTTTGTTGTCTGTCGATTCGTGCGTTATTACGAATTTTGTTCTATATAATGATAATAATATGATAAATGTGAAAAAAAATAACTTTTACTCGATTATGGCTACACAGAATAATATATTGTGGTAGTTATTATATATTTTTACTGTACCTATCTCTGCAGTATAGTGTATACAGCCCTAATATATTATTATATTGTCAGTGAATCGTTAGAACGGTTTGTAATACACATCCCTACAACCACTGCAGCGTAGTTTCAGCCGATGCAGGTCTGATGGGTGTGCAGTATTAATTATAAATAGCACAGTAATTTTATATAGGCGTAAGACATTATCAAACGAATTTTTAAATAAATCTAAAGCACACTGCAACGATGGCAGTGAATTGATGCAGGACACATTTCACCGTTCACCGCGGCGGTAAAGCCAAGACAATATAATTTAACACCACCGCCACTGCTGCAGTGTGTGGGGGCCTTTATACAAAATACATAAGAATAGTAAATTATCACGTTTTATCACGTATTATGACGTTTTAAAAAATGTTGTATCCATATTTTAAAAAAACTCCAATAAACGTTGTTATAAGATATTACAAGAATATGAATTCGCAATAGGTATAATATTATGTGAATTCAGAGTTTATAACCGAAGAACGGGTGGGACACTTTTCAGCCAGTGCACTATTTTAGTCACCAATTTCGAATACTCTTCACGTTTTTTATTCAGTTAAACTACCAATGTGTATAACATTTGTATAATATCATTAATTTATAATTTACAATTTTTTTTTTAAATCACATATTATTCAGTCAAGTAAAAAACATAAAAAATATAAAGTTACATTATACTATCAATTTACAGAAAAAAAAAAAATTATAGGAACATTTAAGAACCACCCTTAACTCACCCGATTCCACTTAGTGTTGGACGAAGTAAACTGTGACACTATTATGGACGAGAATAGTCCAAAAATAGTTTCACAAAAGACATGCATTATTTATAATATAATATTAAAATATATTTTAGTTCGTTCGTGATGCGGTCCCTCATCCACCTCCGTCTCGGAGGTCGCCAGCTCACGGAGTTCCTATACATACTGAACATTTCAAACAATATGCATTGATTTTGCCTCAAATGTTTGGTGGCATACAGAACCTAATTTGGCGTTTCTGAACGTCGAATTCAAACGACGCCGCTCCGTCTGCAAAAAGCGTATTTTGCATTTTTCGTACAGTTCAATATCAGACAAAATGTACATCAGGCTTAACACTTTTATTCGTTTCATTTTCTTCTTCTTCTTTATAATACTATCCACAATATATACATAAGCATCTATGCTAGGTACCTAAGCTATTTTCCTTAATAAAAAAAAAATGTAACACGGCGTTATAAATAGGCAATTTGGTTACAGCTTTTATATTTTACGTTATATAATATGACGTGTTTCTCAAAATATATACATAAATAGTACACCTTTTTATTTTAAATGTATGCAGAATACCTAACAGTTGATGGACCGCATTAAATAATCCAATTTAATTCTATTAGTTCTAATAGCTAAATTGTACCACAAACTTCAAACCTTCATTTATGACCACGTTTCTTTGGTAAATAATTAATGAATTTATTTAAATTTACATAATAATTTGTATTGATGCTTACTCAATTACATTTCTGTTAAATTATTGATTGTCACCTAATATTAGTATTAAATATTATTCACCAAAAATCCATATTAATTACATATCTCATTGACCTTAAAATGTATTTAGAATTAATTTCAATAATTATAAAAGCCAATTTATTATACTGTTTTTAAGTTAAAATATTTACATTTACGTTTTTTTTCATTATTTTAAAATAAATAAAAGTTTTACTGTATGAAAATATTTAAAAAAAGTATCAAATGCAAATAAAATCATGAACTAATTTAATATTATGTTAAGTTGTTCAATTATTATCTGTTTGTTTAAAAAGTAATTGAAATTGAAAAGAAATAATATCGAAAAATGAAAAATAAAATATGACCTATAATGATATGTCACTTAGGTATAAAATTAATTTTACAAGTATCAATAAGGTTTTCTTTCAAAAGCATCCAATTTTATCTTTAAAACGTTTTATTGATTTTTGTTTGGTATTAAAGGAAGTTTCAATTGTGTTGACCATGTCATTTTTAAATAAATAAAAACCAATATTGGTTGAGAGAATAATCCTTACTTTACGAGAACGCTATGTTCTTTCATAATAATAATAGTCATCTCAATTTAATTTATATTATACATACCTATAATAGGTAGTTATTAGTATATTAAAATTACTCAAAATATTCGTTTAAGAGTGTATTATAATTATAGAACTATTATAAGTATTTTTACCGAAAACGAAGAATTTAAATTCGGCTACATTATAGGATACATTATGAACCCGAAGACAGATGAATAAAAAGATTATTTGGATCAAATTGGGTTAAATTCAAAAATACGTCAACTACATCTGTCGTAGAGCTGTCATGTTTTTTTTTTAGATTTTTGAATGTTTTTATGAATTCTTGTGAAAATAAATATATCCTTTGGAGGTGAACGTAGATAATCTGATATTGTTATTTCAAGCATTGAATTTGATTTAACGGGTTAGAAAGTAATCATTATACTTATGAAGCATATAATACTAGTAATTATCCAGTTGCTTGAATTAAAAGAAACAATAAAGCCCAACTGATTATATGAAATTAAATTATTGTACAATATAATAGAGCTTGACGTAACGATGTTTATATTGTTGATTCGTATCCTCCAATGATGGAAATCATATAGGTACCCTCTTATCCCTTATTAAATCATAGCTCAAACTCTGCAGATGAAATACTCTCTACTGCGATATAGCAGCAATAATAACAACGACCTATGGATTCCAGCTGGGGCTGCGGTGGCTGCATCCAAACAAAAATTATAAACTTACAAACTCTACGAAATAAATTCTTGAAAATAGCACTGAAATCCCCAGGGTCCGTGCGAAACAGCTTCACAACGATACGGGATTAAACTACACCTATCAACATGGACAACAAATCAATTGAAAAACTTCCTTGGCAGTCTATAAATAATACCAAAGGAGCTCTTCACTTCAAAATCATCGAAAAAACTTCCGTGCTTACCTCGGCACATGACGTCATGTTCCTGTAGAAGACCACAAAGACCAACTACAAACGCGACTTATAAAAGAGGTCTAAGTCGATTAAAGAAAATAACACTTTTAAGTCGTAACACTTTCGACAATGTTTCGTAGCCCTATTGTTTCTATGTTACAACACGCACTATCATATGCTAAATACAAACAAGACAGAAAGTAGAGACCACGGTGTGATTGACGTTATACGACATACTTACCGTTGAAAAATAAGATGACTACCTGTGAAATAATTTACAAGACATAACATTCGTCAAACTTATACTTTATTGAGCAAATCGTAATATTATCTGAATCGTTTATTTTATACGAAAATGTGTCATGACACTGCAGAATACATATTGATACATCATTGTATTGAAACTCGGTTTTAATGGAGATGCTAATACTGTATAATAGACGTACAAATATTGTGAATCAGTGGCTAAAAGAAAAGCGGTCCAACAAAATATTATGTCGAATCGACTAATAATATACGAAGTACGTAATATGATATTATCGTATACAAATTGCATCGTACTTGTATTGTTTTGTACACACGAGACCATTGACCGAGTACACATAATAGCTCGTAATTTGTATACTATTATTTTAATTCTATTCCAATATAATATAATCATAATCGAATCAACTATGAAATAGTTTGACCGTACGTTTATATGATAATATAATACAATTCTGAGCCGAATACATATATTAATATGTAATAATAGTAATAATAATAACATGTTACGGACAAATCCCAAAATCCAGGCGTGGACCGTGAAGTGCCCTTGATAATAATAATAATATTATTATTATTATTATTATTATTATTATTATTATGATCGAGTCGAGCAAATCCAGAAAGCTCGTCTGCTTTTATCAAAAATAGAATAACGTGTAATCTACACGCGATGCGTTTTAGTACCTATTATATTATATTGTGAAAAAAAAAGACAGTGGATAATAAAATATTGGATATCTTCATTATTTATCACATAATATTAAATAAATTATAGTTTAAAATATATAATATAAGGTATGTAATGATGAATAATTAAGCGTTTAATACAGGTATAAGTTAAAAGCTTGGGCGTATACGGACCAGTGGCGGATATATCCTAGTTTTGAGGGGGGGGGCGAATTTCAAATCCACAGAGGCAATGACCTTCAACCCCTCCCATGGGGTGGTCAGCATGTGGTGGCGAAATGCCAAAGGGAGGGGGGGTCCCCCGATATCCACCAAAGATAAGGCTGGGGCTATACACGGCGTATTCCGCCGCGTTTCGAACGCCGCGTATTCCGCAGCGTTTTCCGTCGAATTAAAAACGCATTGGTTTAAATCGGAGCAGCTATACACGACGGGCGTAATACGCCGCGTTTTCCGCGGCGGCAAAAAACGCCGGTCGGCTTGCGTTTTCCGCCACGGAGGAAAACGCGGCGTATTACGCCCGTCGTGTATAGCTGCTCCGATTTAAACCAATGCGTTTTTAATTCGACGGAAAACGCTGCGGAAAACGATGCGGAATACGCGGCGTTCGAAACGCGGCGGAATACGCCGTGTATAGCCCCAGCCTAAGGACAGTATTATGACCAAATTATGCGTCTCTTTTCAAAAACAAAAATAATAGAAATATTAATTATATTTAAGACGTAAATCTGAAGCTTTTATTTTCCAGATTTAGTAAAGTTAAAATGCCAAAATGTTCTTTATCATTACGATGTGATTCGATACTAAATCGTTTGCATTCAACCGTGTGACGCCATCTGGTTGAACGTTCGCAAACCATCGAAAACTGCCGTAGGACGGAGCAATAGTTTCGGAAAAATAGTACCTCCAATACATTTATCCGGTAATGTCCGTGCCCTTAAAACCCACAGATTTCTAAATACTTAAAGAACTTATGGTTATGGATTTTTAGTTTTTCATAATCAATAGATACATATAATATGATCTGCTGACTGCTATATTATACTTTATTTTGTATTAGTGTGTATAACGAAATTATTATAATTGAACTATTATAACCCAATAACTTTTAAATCCGCTAAAGAACAAAACAAATATATATTATTTTTATCAGAAGGAAGAGTGACTTATAGATCATTTTAGAACAATTATTATCGTTTTTAAAATATATAACTGCAGTTGAATATTCACGACGACACTTCCACAACTTAATCTTTATGAAGGTGGTTCGATTTAGATAATTTAAAAAAAAACTTTATAGACATTTACCGGTTAAAATAAATTAAAATACATTTTCAAACGAATTTATTAACTCGAGTACCTAGGTATAGTTTCATTTTTCAGGATAAAATTAAACTGAATAATTGCTCACGGCGTAATTATAAAATTATATAGCAAAACTATTTCGTGTGATTTAGGTTTTACTGCAGGCTGATACTGCTATTCTATCTCTACATTAGATTTTCGGTGGTGGTAAATTCGGATTGTGTGTCATTGGTAACCTTATGAATGATCATAGGTTCTTCGGATGGTGGGGAAATTACCCTGGGGGTCGATCGTACCAATAATGCTGAATAGCTATGAGAAATGGAAAATTACATTTCACTAGAAGTGCGATATCACCAAGGAAGAGAACGAGTGGCAGGGGCAGAGGAATGATTATGGACGACCATAAAACGTGACATCGAAGGCGATGGGGTAGCTAGGAAGCCTGAGAAATAAGGACTCAGACGCACAAGGCTACCTCTAATACGTAAACGGTCGTAAACTCGTATTGTATACCTACATTTTAATTTGTAGAAAATTGTGAACTGTTGTTATTTATGTTAATAAACGAGTCGGCGATTTTACGATTACAAAAAAAGCTTATACTGTTTTACCTAGTCGAAGTCATAAACCAAAAACCAAATGCTATTATACAATATAAAATACAAGGTTATATCAAAAGATTACCATCATTCATTTTAAGGTAATATAAAAATAAAGCATGCAATAGGGTAGTATGGTCTAGTTGTAGGTACTATATGTAGTTTAGTAGTAGGTAGGGAAAACAATGTGAAAAAATAATTAGTTTACTTCGGTAATTTTTTTTTTTTCTAAGACTTCTTCTAGAGTTCAATCAAAAATGTAATAAATCTATCACATTTAACTTCCCTAATTTTCTATGAAAATTATTCTACCACATTCTCAACCTTTAATCAAATATTGTATATAACGATCATAAATTAAGCATGCAACTTTTGGTCATAATAATATTATTATAGTAAACCTATACGGATATTATACTGGTTAGTGGTTAGGTATAATAGTGGTTACAATAGGTATAATACTATAATATTTTATGATAATTACTATGCGTACATATGAAAGACTTACAGATTTGAATCTCTTAATAACTGGAAGCGCGAGTCTGACATTCTAAATTTAGATCTTTATTGTCAACATTTCCCCCCCCCCAAAAAATTTTGGTTTAGCCACACAAACGTAAATTTTTAGAATATGTGTTGTAGACGCAGCATTATAGACAATTATAGTCCCCCTCTCCTCCCAATATAAATTCATCACGCCTATGGTCGTCAATTATACCTATACGTGATTTTCGACTTCAATATTATAAGTGAATAAGAGTATTATAGCACACGCAAGTACAAACTGCATTGCAGGTTTATTGTTTTTATCGACAATATAATAATAATAGGTAATGGTTAGAAGACGTATAAAGTGCAAATTGTGAATCGTTACATCACAGTGTCTGGGTATCTACCATTTTTTCTGGAAAACACGTATCGCCGGGAAGGCTTTCATATTACACGATAAATATTATTATAATGTACCTACCTATTTTCCCCGTACTTTTCTGATATCAATACGTTACGAATTTAATATGTACTTACGTATGTGTGTGTGTGTGTAAATATATTGTACATGAGTAGAAGGTAGGTGGTACCCGCAGGCTACAACTGTGTAGTTCGAGAGAAAATCTCAATTTCGGTAATAGAATTTTTTTAAGAGTGACCGACGAGAAATACACCACGTTAGACCATATACAATATATTATATTGTTATCATTTTTAGTACCTATAGGTATATTATGTACTTCGTGATGCGCCGCCGCGTCTTGGGAAATAAAATTCAATTACGTAATAGTAATATATATTATATTAGGTATATGTATAAAAAAAACATCCAACAGCGTCCATTTTTTTCATTTCCGTGTGTACTATACTCGTATATATGAATGTGTGTATATGTGTATGTGTGTATGTATGTATGTATGTATGTATATATATATATATATTATTCTTATATAGGTACCTGCAGATACCCAATATAACATAATGACGTACTATATACACCTATTATGGTACAGTTACCTACTATTATTGTGGTGTTATTAAAATAAATATTTAACACGTGATAAACTGTTTTACCAGAAGTGTTTGATCCCACGTATATATTGTATACAAAGTGCTTGTGACTGTTTAAACGCATAAAAAATTCACACTGTCCCACAAATAACACTCGACTAAAAATTGTCACAAATATGGGAAGAGGAGTGAAAGGAGAAAAATAAACCATAATATAACATTATATTATAAAGGACGGTGGCTTAGAATATTATTCTCCAAACGTTTTCAGTAATACGATTATGTAAACAAATGATAAATGGCCTATTAAGGCGCCATATCGAGTAAAAACTGTACTAAACTACAATGGAGTTACGAAAAGTATTTTAGCATAGTCAACCATTAATAATAAAAACATATTTAAGTAAATATTTTTTTCAAAAACGCATAGCGCACAATCTTATAGGCTCAACGTAGAGGGTATGCAAAATTAAGGTAGAACAGTAGAAAGTTTAATTTAAACTTTTATGACACACTCGAAGGGCCAATTTGAGTTGAAACCTATTTGGCTAAAATCGCAAAATATAAAAGATACTTATCGTTAATTTTATGTGTATATAGTATATACTATATAGACTTTAAGGGGAGAAAATAAATGGCTGACAATTTATAATTTTGAAAGTTTTTTTAGGGGTTCATTAGCGAAAAAAAATGGTATTTTATACTTCAAAATAACCCTTGTCAATTTGTTTATGCTTATAAAAATATATATAACTATATATATGTATAGTAGGTATGCCAACAATATTGTACTTCGTTTTTAATTCGTACTCATTTCTCAATAACCGTTTTTAGACATTGAAATGCAACCATATTAAACTTTAGAATGTTAATTTTTTTTATGTTCTTATAATATTTAAAGTACTTAATTATTTTAAATTTCTATAAGACACATTTCACGAATTGTATATGGGGGGGGGGCGTTGTTGTGAATTTTGGTCGATACTCGATACGTATCCACAATTCGAGTGAAAAGTTGATATATAAATAGTTGTTTCAGAAATTAAACCTCATATCGTCGGCCTAATTCGCAAAAGTCATATCTCCATTTTTTGTCATTTTGGGATTATTTACTCATAAAATAAAGAAAAAAAAACTGCGTCTGTTGATACAATCAAATTTCCGATTTCATAATATTATCCTCCATGAAGTTGATAATTAGAAATCGTCGTATCTCCAATTAATAATATGGCCACGATATATTTATTAGGCAATCTAGGAAGAAAAAGTCCTAAGTCCATTAAACAATTATTAATGAACACTACAATATTTAAATTGTTCTATTATAATTGCAATTATGTTTTTTAAATGAAAGGGAAAAGAATAATGTCTAATTTTATCAAAGTAAATTAATTAAACGTTTTTTTTCTTCTCCTGAACAATTTGTAATTTTGGACATACGACCTTTGCGAATTAGGCCGACGATATATTTCATTGATGTTTCAAAATACCACATATTATATTTATTTGATAACCTTCTCCATATGATTGAACAAAAATGGGAGCTATACATATTTAGCACACGATATCATATAGGCGTGCGCACTACTTTATGCATACCATAATAGATAATATATAGAGACGCTGGAAAGTGCGATTTTAATTTATCTAATGTATATATTTCAAAATTTAAAGGCAGCCTACTATGCAATTGAAACATTTACGGCCAACACCCAACAAAAATTTGGCTTATAATTTATATCGTATAATCTATCTAACTATCTCGGTCTAACTATGGTGATCTGTAAATGTGTAGGATCTAAGTAGTTTGGTACCTGGTACATGCTGCATACATGAAAATAAATATTTACATACTATTTAATAAATTATATTATATTAGTTGAAGCTACCATAGGGGATTTGAGTTTTTATTTGTTGTTTCTATAAAATATAGTATATTGTATACCAATAAATAATAAGCACATAATATACCTATATGGTTCGCCAGTTTAAAAAAAAGTGATGGGGTGGACACCCAAATCCCCCCAGTAGTTACACCACTATAATCATCCTATACGAATACTTTGATATAATTAAAAAATACAATTTTCTAATAAAGTTTATCGTCTTGAAGTATAATTATCATTTCCATCGATTTCGCGGTAGCCGGTAGGACGCCATCGCCGATAAATATATGCACAATATAAATAATTAATTCGATATTATAGAATAATATGTATCATTCGAATAATAATATTGTTCACTTACATGGTCGGATTGAGCTTCATCACGTTGGAAAAGTCCGACATGTATTCCCAGACAACGCGTGTCTTGGCATTTTCCATGTCGCTGCTGATGAACCGAACGTTGTTCTCACGCTTGGCCGTCAGTATCAGCGCCAACACGACAGCTAAGCTGCCGAAAACAAGCATCCTCCGGTGTCGGTGAACGATCATCTGTGCACAGAGAGCAAAAAACGGACTAAAATAATATGATTACGACCCGGATAATCGTATGTTCTGTTCCGGTTACGTCGACGGTTGTTTTCGGTTGTAGACGGTTTTTTAAGATTATTTTTTTAACAGACCGAAATAGTAATATACATATCTCGAGGTGGGGGAGGGGTGAGGGAGAACAAGTCTGAAGTACGGTGATAATATGATCAATAAAATAATAATAAATAAAATAAGAATACTTTGGTGTAGCGTACGATTTTTGAAAACTTCATGATGGTTGCTCAAGAGTCGTTTTGACGTGGCCGGCGCTGTTGAAAACGAATGCGACCGATTGCGGACGAGTGGCACGTCCGAGTCATGTGTTCACACAAGATATCATAATAATAATAATAATAATAATATACAAGCAATGTAGACGGTTTTGAATAATTTTGTTTCAGATAATGTTATTCCGGTATGACACCGGACAGATGATAATAATATTATTATGGTCGTGAACCGACAGTACCCATGCTCCGACAGCATAATATTGTGTCACGTTTACGAATAAATAAATAGTATTTTATCGTTCACGTAACGAAAATGGTAATATGTTTTCGAATAAAATTCGATCGGTGTGGTAGAGAATTAATCCAATCTGTGAAAAATCATGATAAACGTGATTCGTCTACTTTTCACAACTATACATTTTAAAAATATGTCCTTATTCACAACTGAGAACCGCATAAAATAATAACCTTAAGTGACTAAAATATGATTGTTGATCTAAAAACGGGTGTTTCATCTCAATTAATTTTTTTCTGGTATTTCATCTATTTATCGATATTACTAAGCAAACTAAAATTCGCTTTTTAAAAAAAAGGTTTATAAAGTCTATGGTGTTTTTAATTCAATTCCATTGCAAAATCACAATCAAAACATAAATACCAATTAAAACAAACATACTATTATGTTGATATTGTATAATACATAAACATATTTTAAGTCACGTAATTCATAAGTGCCACACTTAATATATAAATACTAATATTGTTTAGAGTTGTGATATTAGTATTATACTGTAAAGTTATAACCTTATAAACTTATAAAGTATATAAACATATAAATATAATAATATCTCTATCAATATTTAACCTATTTCATAGTACAGTATGGTAATATTTTCTATAAATAATAATTTGTAGATCATTTATTAACTTGCTTTATGTAGAAACTTTCAGGACGGGACTTCTCTTAAATCATTATATCCATGGTGATTTTTTAATCGAAGAACACTCATATTATTTCTGAAAGTATAGACTTTTTACCAAATTTTTTTTTCTAAAAATTTTAGTTGCATACTTTTCTACATTTGTATAACACTTTAATTTTTTTTACCCTTATATGTATTTATTGGTCAAACTATTATCAACTTTTGATTTTCAAACGGCAACCCATATACGGCGCTAACAAAAATAGCGTTATCCAGTTAGAAATCAATTTTTTGTTTGTTGAAAGCCTTTGAATGTTTGTGTTAAACGCGTTAGAATAACGGTTTTTTACATACGTGGTAAGGTAGGAACCGTGGTTACATATGAACCATGGTTAAGTATTAACCGTAGTTACATAGGAACCATAAAAAGGCTATACATTCAAAAATAATGAGTGTTCTTCGATAAAAAAATTCACGATTGCTTTCACGATTGTGTATTGTCAAATTATTAAACTTAATAGGTATCATGAGATGATTGATCAATAAAATTTATTTAGGAGTTTTTTTCTCTCAAAAAATGGTTTTTAATTAAAAATAATAACCGAATTATTACTATTACAAAGACTATTATCGACAATGCATATAAAATAATAAAATATCCATTCATATCTGATTAGGTACTATTACTAAAAACTATAGAATTTATGAGATATAAGTAAAAATAGCACTGATTAATAATATGTCACATATCACTGAATAATATGCCAAGGTGCAGATTAATAATATACCACGACACTGATTAATAATAAACCACGTCACTTACTAATATTATGCCACGGCACAGAATATTACAACGGCACTGAAATATGCCAAGGCACTGAACATGCCACGGCACAGATAAATAATATGCCAGGGCACTGAATAATATGTCACGACACTAATTAATAATATGCCAAGGCACCTTTTAATATTATGACAAGGCACAGAATAATATGAAACGGCACTGAATTGCCACAGCACTGAAATAATATGAAACGGCACTGGAATATGCCACGGCACTGAATAATATGCCATGGCACTGAAATAATATGCCAGGGCACCTTTTAATATTATGACAAGGCACAGAATAATATGAAACGGCACTGAATATGCCACAGCACTGAAATAAAATATATAAATGCATGATTACAATGTTTTTATACGTGTTTTAAGTAAGAATTTTTACGAAATATATGTCAACATTTTGAAAATATCTCAAATTATTTTGTATTTAAAAGTGTATAATTTTTTTTTAATATTCGTTCATAAGAATTAAAAAATTTAATACAAACGTCTTTATATAAGTTGTTATGACTGGAATTAAAAAACAAAGTTGGATCTAGGAATTTGCTCAATACCTACAAAATTACTGAGAGAAAAATAAATATTACTCAAACTAATAATAAGTACATTTTAAAATAAAAACATTAATTATACACCTAACTACAACACGTGCCAGGTGTGAGAATTTTTTTAGAATTTTTCCAAAAATAATTTATTACAAATCAAAAATCATTGATCAACAAACCCTTTTCAATAGGTAGGTAGTCATTAGTTTAAAACTACCTATTAGTTTATTGTTATACTGATTCGTTCACATAATCATGTATAGGTAATTGTGTATTTTCCAACGACTTTGGTAATACTATCCCACCAGCTTATTTATTGTATGTTTTCTATACAATGAACTTGAATTTGCAACTATGTGAAGAATTTACACAGCCATTGGCGTTAAATAATATTGAGCAGTTAACTATAAAATAAGAGTACTTATCAAATGTTTGTGCATGTCAGTGTTAATATCGTTGTATATTGTGCATTACCTTTGATTTTCTCAAAATGGAATTTTATAAATTACAATCCGGTGGTAGAATGCCAGCTTTAGGTTATGGAACATTTTTGGTAAGTCCTTTACAACTATAATACCTATTAATCAAATAGGTAAATAATAATCTATTGGTATGCCTAATATAAGTATTAAATGAATCACTCTCTATTTTTCCTCGGTGATTCTCATATCCTAGAATTGCGTTCGCTATATAACTATATCTTACTTAACATTTTATCGTTTCAACTTGTAATTTCTATGTGTCTATAGTTTGATTTTTGTGTTAAAGGCTATTTAAAACTATCATTTAATTTAATTCCTCGATAGCCTAATAATATTAAGTAACCTACGTCCTACACCATTCTACCAAAACAATCAAACAAGGAGATTGAGTTAAAATTGGCTCAGAAACTTTTTGAATAGTTTAAATAAAAAAACTTAATATAGTTTCATAATGTTACACAATGCCGTGCTTCTAAATTTATATATATGGATACAACATATAATAAATTTCATTATTAAACATTTAAACGTTACAATTATTACACAAATAAGTGGTCACATTATAATATATTAAATAGGGCGCGATAATATTACCATATTGCCATTTATAGATTTATTAATAACTATACTAATTACCGCCACGAGCTGTACATTTATTTTTTTTTTTTTAATTGGATAAACCGCGGCAAAATAGGCCATTGGGTGTGGGGAGGGAAATGTGGGGTTTTAGGTTGGTACACGTGTGTGTTGAGTTTTGGCAGAATTTCTAATGGGGCACCCGTAGGTTTTAGCCATGCCCCGGGTGGGGGATGGCGGCACTTGTTCTCCGGACACCGTGACTTGCCCGAAGAAAATGCCGCCCGGGGCCGAGGTATCGAACCAGCGTAGTCCGCTCGGCCACTCCGCCCCCCTGTACATTTTTATAACCACTCCAAACCACATCCATACGATTCTATAACGTGAAAAATAAATAAATAATTGAATAAATACTACCTATTATACGTTTTATTGAAATAAAAATAAAATATAATACAGGTAAATTAATACTATTATTAATGTTTGATTATAAAAATATAATAACTTTTTGGAGTCATATACTCAGATATATCTACTATAAATCATTATTTAATATTTATTGTTATAATAATTAAATAATATTTAATTATTATAACAATATATGATATAATATAATATATATAATTAGTTTTAGTTTTATTTGTTTGTATTATTTATAAAACACATAGTTAGGTATATTACAGGTATATTTTATTACAAATAGATGTTATTTATTATAATATATTATATTTTAACAGATTTACTTCATACTATAGGCCTCCAACAAAGTTATCATATATTTGTATAGGTACTTAATAATTTGTTGATATTATTTATTATGTATTGTATTTAATTTTTCATTAAATACTAATTTTTATAATTACCAAATGATTGATTAATTGATCGCGTATCTTAATCGTACGCTATCCACAATTTACCGACATTTGGAAGGACGATAACAGCTTGACCAGTATCGTAATATACAAATTATAAAATATTCATAGAAACATAGGCTTACAGACGGTCCCTTCGGTTCAGAATCGTTTACTTATGTAATGATTTATAATTGAATCCAAAATGTTACAAACCCATCATTGTAATGGTGATCAAGCCAATACCAAGGTACACTCGAAACCTACTGTACAGTAGAGCGACATCACCGGTTTTTTCATAACATAATGAAATTGAAATCCAAGAATCTTTTTTCAAATTAAATTATAAATTTGAAAAACATATAAAAAATAATATAGAATAATCACTAGTTTTAACTGTATGTCATTAAATTATTTTGATCTATCTCATACGTATATATAATTTTATATTACATTAGCTTAATATTATTGAATTGTTTAAAAATCAGTCATGTAAACAATTTACAATTCATAATTTATTATATAACCTAACCTAACTTTTTGAAAATAATTTATTCGCTTCATTAAATTATCATAATTTGTAATATTGTTGTAGGCTACAGGTATTGAATTAGAACAGTCTTTAAATATAGCGCTAGAAACTGGCTATAGGTTCTTCGACACGGCCATTGGTTACAACAATGAACCAGTCATTGGAAAGGTTTTAAATGAATGGATATCAGCTGGAAAAGTGACTAGAGAAGAATTGTTCATCATAACTAAAGTATTTCCAAAATTATATTAAACACAAAAATTAAAAAAATTACAATATAAGTGTATTTTTACTCAGCTCCCATGCTTTGGAAATCGTCCAGAAGAAGTAGATACATATATTAAACAATCACTAAAAGACTTACAGCTAGATTATGTTGATATGTACCTGATACATCTTCCAATTGGTCTATTTAAAAATGGTAAAACTTTGTACAGTGATATGGAATTAGACAACAGTACGGATCATCTTAACATTTGGAAGGTAGGTATCTCTAAAAAGTTTTAATCTAAATCATGATGGATTTGGCAATCCAAAAACCATATCCAACTCAAGATGTCATTACTTAATAATCATACAAACAATAAAATATAACAATAGTCAATAATGTGAATACTCCCTAAACAATTATTTTCCTGAACTATAGTAATACACTATAACACATACATTATTTTAGAAAATGGAGGATCAAGTGGTTAATGGCCGGGCGAAATCTATCGGTTTGTCGAACTTCAACATCAAACAAATACAAAGGATATTAGACAATTGCAAAATTAGACCCGAAGGTCTCCAGAACGAGAATCATTTGTACATGCAATCTCCCGAAGTCGTGCGATTTTGCAAACTTAACGATATCATATTGATCTCGTACTCGACTCTGGGCATGAAATCTTTCAGAGAATTGGCGGGATTATCTTGGAAGTAATGAGATAAACATGCACTTTGCCGTGTAAACACTGACTTTGAATACAATAATATGTTTGATAACTAAATTATGAGTTTGTGTGTGTGTGTGTGTTATTAAACAGAAATAAACAGTTACCAGAAATGTTGGAGAATGATGTCTTGGTCAAGGTTGCAAAAAAACATGGTAAGACTACAGCTCAAGTGTTGCTGAGGTTCCTCAATCAGAAAAAAATTGCCGTCATACCCAAGAGCGTGACCCCAGATCGAATAGTGGAGAACTTTCAAGTATTTATATTTTTGATTTCTATTGTCAGTATTCATTATATTCGATGATATAATCATATGCATCATCAGAATTATGTGCCATATCATAACATTAATGGTTTGCACGTTTTACCCGAAAGATTTTCGATTTCAAATTGGACACGGAAGACTTGGACGCTCTACGCAGTGAGGACAATGGAGAAGATGGGCGTATCGTATACTTTTCGATGATTAAAAAGTAGGTTTTTTGTTTTTTTAATTAACTTTGAACTTAAATGCAGTGGCGCAACTAGAGCTGACATATTAGGGGAGGCTGTATCCCCCACCTAACATAACATGAAAAGTAACCCGTGGAGGCGATGCCCCACACCGGTCTAGGACAATTGGGCGCCGCAAACTGGGCGTTGGACAAGTAGGCGCGAGTTAAGTGGACGTCAGGACAGCTGGGCGCTAAACAGCTAATTATAATGTGATTCTAAATGATTACTATTATTATTATATTATCATTATTAAATTGTATTTTTTTTTTCATTATTTTTCATCATACGTATGGGATATGAAGCGGTGCTCCCATTGGTCTCTCTTAAAATATAAAATTTTATCTTATTTAATTAATAGGTAAACTCATTTGGTAATTATGTGCAATTCCTCTTAAATATTCGACAACGTCTCTGTTATAATAGTCTCGAACAACCGTTAAAATACGTTGATCGGCATCCCTGTACATCTTTAATTTCACCAGTGGATTGTGTCCAACAACAAGTTGTTCATAATAAAAGTCACGATTGGTTTGCACTTTTTTTAAACCGTCAATAAGCTTCCAGATTGTAGGGTCATCCATACCTAATTCCGTCTGAAGTCGGCGATGAGCTGCTTCAGCATGTTTATTAGTTCTGTCTTTTTGGTTTGAAGTTCTGTTGTAGACATTCCACATTTCGTGAGGAAACAAAGGCTGTCTTCGTTCATTACCTCTCCGATTCATTCTTCCGACGTAGTTGTCCTCAAACCAGTCTAAAAGTGGTTGCAAATCATTCAGTAAGTTTTCAGATAATAATAATAGAGTATTATCCGTGTCTTCGATTGGGACAAACGCCAAACCTATTACCATTTTTGAGTACAACGAAAAGTTGGGTTCATTGTTGTAACGATTTATTGGCCTAATTCACACAACTTTTTTTTCATATTTTTTGCCAAATGAAAAAAACAACCTCAGATTTACATGGCAAGAAATATTTTTGAAATGCTTTTTAAAGCAGCCATTTCATAGTCACAAGTGATAGATTTTGGATCGAAGTTCAGCAGCACTAACACTTAAATCATGCCAAATAATTTGTCATAAGTTTCTCTACATTATTTGGCAGAAGTGCGTAGAAGATTGGTTTAACGCCTCCAAATTTTTTTGTTAGAACAACAAAAATTTGTTTGAGTTAATACAGCGCAATTTTAAATGTCCCATCCATAAAAAATCATCACAGTTTAATGCTAGTTCTAGATTTCGTTGACGTCCAAAAATTAGGATTCTTTCTGCATCTGGTCCACTATCAGCTAGTAAAAAGTTTTGAGTGTTTCCCGGTTCTGACTCATACATTTTATAATATTCAGGAATTTCGAGTTGTAGGATTCGACGGAGCTTGATTTACTTCATTGCGTTTCCTCATGACTATAGCTTCTTTAACGCTTGTTGATTGAGGAGAGCTCCTTGAAAAGTGACATCACTATACTGGGTACATTCGTTAATTACTTGAAATGTCGATTCTTGTGTTTCTATAGCTCTTTTCTTAATTTTTGTAACGATTTTATCCGCTGCTACTTTAGCTGCAGATGGTTCGTGGCTATGCATATTTATAGTTTTTACAACTTCACGATTAGCAACAGCCATATCTTTGTAATGTCGTATATGCACGCGAGCTTTACAATGTCGTTTTTGTTCACATCGCCAAAACTCAGTTTTTTCGTCCGCCGATAGTTAATCAAATATGTACAAAAATACATCAACAAAAAACTTTTCACGATTTCGCTGTGATGTGATTTCCATGTTGGCTATGTTGTCTGAACTGAACACTATTGCTTTGAAGTTCAAAATAAGACTAAATGTAATCTATCTATAAGCACAATCATTATCCACCCATTAAGCATTATCGTTATTGCTGCGTTATCGTATTTGTTCACTTCGCGTCGTCCGTTAAGTATGTTTATATAATATTTTATTTTAGTGTCACCGCATACACTCCACACTGTGGTACTGTACAGTAAGATATTTTGCAGCTTCTTTTATCAGTAAACGGCCAACCGACTCACGCATACACATTGCATATTGCCACACATTATCTATTTGTGAATCATTTTTGTTAAGACTAGTTAAGTACAATTTGGTTTGGTAAAAAGATAAATATTAAAACAAAAAGAAAAACAATTTTAAATAGTAATAGTTTAGAGTTAAATAATAATGATAATAATAATATAAAACTGTAATAATTTTATATTGGTAGGTAGCTTCAATAAAAAAAAAAAAAAAAAAACATCAATAATAATATAATAATAATAGTATAATCATTTAGAATCACATTATAATAATTAGCTGTTTAGCGCCCAGCTGTCCTGGCGTCCACTTAACTAGCGCCTACTTATCCAACGCCCAGTTAGCCGAGTTGGCCATACCTACTTGTCATATTACGTCCCACACCCCCATATATTATGTTCACTTAAAAATATAAAAAAATCAATTATTTATTTACTCAAGTATTTAATTATATCTTATTTTTTAATATTTATATTATAATTTTCAAACATTAACAATAATATGTTTTGCTTAATACCTTTATATTATACTATCTGATCCCAGTGTCGGATCTAGGATTTTTTTATGGGGGGTGCTTAGGTTAAGGTATAATGTTGTATTCTGTATACTACATCCTGATGGCATGAAATTTTTTTAGTCCTAATTGGCAATTGCACATAAAGCACATTGCTGAATATTTAAAAGGATAAAGATAAGTGACAACTTTAAAAGTACATCTAAAACAAATACCTTTATTTAAAAAAAAATAAAACATAAAAATGTAAACAAGAAATTTAAATTATATCACATCCACTTATTGTATTTTTTATTTCTTAATAATTGATTGACAAAAAACAAATTAAAATGATTAGGACATTTTGACCAATCTTCTAATTCCATCCTCCTTTTTTTTTTCCAAGCGAAGGTGTCAACTACTTAAGATAACTATAATTTTTAAATGTATAATAACAAAGTATTAAAGTCAGTGGCGTATATAGGCTCCCTAGGCCAGAGCCCATAGTTAAATTGCAGGTTCAATTAAACCATTTCATGTACCTATATCAAACGTGTTTACAGTTTTTCACCATGATTAATTTAACCGGTTAATTAAAATCGTTTTGAGGAATCAACAAGGAAATGTTAGATTATCTGGACTTGCTTTGATGACTTTTGTGTTAAATTCACAATAAGATAACATTAAAATATATATTATGTATATATGAAATTGTCAATATTTTTTAAAAAAGAATTAAAAATGAATTTTACATAATAATTATAAAATTGAATAGCTCAATTTTTATTTGTATTTATAACCACCCAGCTCCTTAAAAAATGTATAGTTATGGCTATGTTAGTCTCACTATGCTGACTAGTGATAAATTGGCCCATTATGAAAATAATTTGTACATACGCCACTGATTAAAGTAATAGACAAAATTATTATTTATAATAATACCGTGGATTTAAAATAGTATAATCGGTATTCGGTGATAACACTAGTGATAACTATTATTCTATTCTGTGTAACTACTAGATAATATTATCTACATCGTGGAAAATATCTATGATTTAAACAGTAAGATACTAAACCCAATATTCATGTCTGATACCCGTGACCCGTGGGTTGTATCATAGAACAATATTTATTTATAGTTGTATCGTTCCATTTTTCAGTCACTTCTGGTTATCACTTATCTCAATTGTTGAGGGAAAAATTACTTATAAAAAAAAAAATAATATTATTTATTTTGTTACCGATTTAGTATAACGTACCCGGCCCACTGAAAAATATGTATAGTATATAGTATTTGTTTTTAACCAGGTAGCAACATGCCAAGGGGGGTGCTATAGCACCCTAGCACCCCCCTCTGGATCCGCCACTGTCTGATCCCGTGCACTTCATTACCCCTTAAATGTATCAACTCTATATGACTCAAACTTTGTTCAATTCGTTATTTAATATTCAGTGTATGGTGTTCAAAATTTATCTTAACTTTTCCGTTGCTCGGAATAAAAATTCTGATTCTCAGCAGTACCTATATTATCAGGTTCACTAATTGTGAATGCTGAGTCTGTCGACCAATATTTCCTCCTCGTCCACGAATACGTGGCATCGGGATTGTTTTATGTGCCATGTACGTAACTTATATGTGAGTATAATACGCTAAATATTTACGTAATTGTGATACATTACACAGCGTACAAAAAAAAATAAATGTATTGAACGAATACACTTATTTCACGGCAACCAATAATAGTTTATAATAGTTTTAAAACCCATGGCAACCATTTATAAACAAAAATTTTCACCTTAAATCACTAAATCCCCATTTGAGCACATATCCTGGTTTGACCTAGGGTGATGATTTGTAGCCTATATGTTATTCTGATGTACAAGCTATATTATTGTAAAGTTTCATTAAAATCCATTCAATAGTTTTTACGTGAAAGAGTAACGAAGTCACAGACTTTCGCATTTACGAGTATAATATTAATAGGATTATATAATTACACCTAATATATCCCCGAAATGAAATATTACGTTTCCTAATAATATTTTAACGATATGTAAATAAAAATTATTATTATTAGAAGTAGATTTTACAAGTTTTACTTAATATAGGTAGATACAATATTTAAAAGATTACAAAATAAAAATATTTCGAATGATTGATACATCAAATAAAACAATTAATGTAGGTACCTAATCAGTAATCTTTTAAAAGAACTATTAACATATGTTGTTTCACATCGCGATATAAAACAAAACAATATTATTGTTAATTTTTGAATATTATTTATTTTTTAATGAAAAGTATACCAATATTATATAAGTATAATATTACATTTGTAATTAAATATTAATAATGTAATAATTACACGTTTTAAAAATACCATATGGTTGTCAGTAATATTGTAGTCTGAGGGTTATTTTTCCTATTGTCAGGGATTTTTTTCAGCGGATTTTTATTCCGCTATTACCTACCTCTATGTTATAGTTCAGTGCATAAGTATACCGTATACTGTAAAATTATGTGTAATAATCTTACCAAATACAAAATAATTTATATCATACTGACATAAACTGTTTCCTTAAAACGAATACAATTATACAGCTTATGATATTTAGTATTTACCATATTTATCGTAGGCGATATAAAAAAAAAGTTTAAATAAAAATTTAAAAAATTAAATAATTACATTTTTAAAAAAAAAATAAGAAATACAGTTTAATTTTTAAAGATTTTTTAATATTTATTTTTATGAAAGAATTGAATAATTTATTTTGAGGGGGCTATTACAAATTTGGGGGGGCAAGCCCCTCAGCCCCCCTCCCCTAGTTAAGCATATTCTTAAATGTAAGTATTATGAAGTCAGATCGATTTGAAACCAACAGAATACGCGTTGTATTCAATTAAATTAATATTTTTTTACTTATTTAAAGTATATCATTACAATTCTATGCACGTCAAAATCATATAGTATAATATTAACCAGAGACCAGAACAAATTCGAAAATAACTGGTATTAGAATTAGAACATGACCGAAACTCTACTCAAATCCACTTTTAATTTTTTAACACAGAAATCAAATTATGAACCGATATTTTGAGATTGAAGTTTTTCAGTTCTTGCTGGTCTCTGGTTTTTAACACATAATTATCAACTAATATAATATTATCATTTATTTATAAATGAGTGACATTTACATTACTAAACGTACAAATTATTTAATGTTCTATATGTTTTTTTTTGTTTTTCATAGCATCACAGATCACCCAGAATATCCATTTTGATCCTGTAAAGATAATATTGTTAAACACTAGGTACATATTTATAAATTTATAATTTCCGAATTCTAAGTGATTCAAGCTCCGAAAATAATTTTTCGAATGTGATTATCCAATTTTAAAATATAATATAATATGTAATATTAAATTTGCATGTATATTTACTTTTATGTATTGCCATTAATTATAGTGAAATCTATAAAATGTGGTATCGCCTATGTAGATATATTTCTATATTAATTGTGCTGTTGTTAATATGAGTGATAAATAGATGAAGATGCTCTTTAAAAAAAAAATGCCAATTTAGTTTAAATTGTATACATAATATTATATGGAATACTAATAATATTGCGTTTGGATAAATTATTATTTATTAGTAATATTACAATCTTATATATACTATATAGGTACCTTATTATACTAACCTGTAACCGTTTAATACATGGTTCAAGTTCGTCAATTGCACGTATACAGACGTCTAGTTCAAGTGGGTATTTATTTCGAAAGTTCCTGTCGAAGCATCGATTTCTGATCCGATTATTTAATGAAGATTATACGTTTAAAACGTGAATACATACATCAACACAACAGCATAGTGTAAAAAATCCCCAGATGGGGAGGAGGGGAGGGAGAATTACACTCATCAAGTCGGTGCAATCTGTAATATCACGGTGTGTGTATACCCACAACTGTACCTACTCTGTAGATCCACTTATGTACACAAAAATATTAATTACTTTTGAACAATACGCCTATAAACATCCATTTACCTACACTATATATACGGCAAGTCCTAAGGTATATAAATAA